ATCAACTTGGAAAAACAATTAAGGTATTAAGATCCGATAAAGGTGGTGAATATGATTCGTCCATGTTTGCTGAATTATGTGCTGAGTTTGGTATCATTCACCAAACAACTGCCCCGTATACTCCGCAGAAAAATGAGATTGTTGAGAGGAAAAATAGAACTCTAAAAGATATGGTTAATGCTATGCTTATAAGTTCTGGATTACCACAAAACTTGTGGGGGGAAGCAGTGTTAACTGCTAACTTTATTCTGAATAGAGTTCCCCATAAGAAAACTGGTTCAATACCTTATGAGTTATGGAAATGTAGAATGCCTTCCTATAAATGCTTAAAAGTGTGGGGGTGCCTAGCTAAAGTGGCTATTCCACCTCCCAAAAGGATTAAGTTAGGTCCTAAAACTATTGATTGCATTTTTATCGGATATGCAATAAAGAGTAGTGCGTACAGATTTCTTGTGCATAAATCTGATATAAGTGACATTCATGTCAATACAATTTTTGAATCTCGAGATGCTGAATTCTTCGAAAATGTGTTCCCTAATAAAAGAGATATTCTTGAGAATACTCAAAAGAGAACACGAGATAATGCTATTGAAAACAATAGAGAACCTGAATCAAGAAGGAGTAAAAGAGCAAAGGTCGCTAAATCCTTTGGTCCAGACTTTATTTCTTTCGTAATTGAGAAAGAGCCCCAAACATTTAAAGAAGCTGTGACTAGTCCAGAATCCGTATTCTGGAAGGAAGCTATAAATAGTGAAATTGAATCTATTATGAGTAATAATACTTGGCAATTGGTTGATCTTCCTAAGGGAACTAAACCAATAGGATGCAAATGGATCTTTAAAAGAAAGTTAAGATCTGATGGTTCAATAGACAAATACAAGGCTCCACTGGTTGCAAAAGGATATCGTCAGAAAGAAGGAATTGATTTCTTTGACACATATTCTCCAGTAACAAGAATTACTTCTATTCGGGTTTTAATTGCTACTGCAGCTTTGTACAACTTACAAATATATCAAATGGATGTTAAGACTGCATTCCTGAATGGTGATTTAAACGAAGAAGTATATATGGAACAGCCAGAAGGTTTCATAGTGAAAGGACAAGAGAACAATGTTTGCAAACTAGTTAAGTCCTTATACGGTCTGAAGCAAGCTCCTAAACAATGGCACGAAAAGTTAACCAGCGTCATGATTAGGAATGGATTCATCATAAACGGATGTGACAGATGCGTATATTCGAAAAAATTCGAAAAGACATACGTACTCGTCTGTTTGTATGTTGATGACATGCTTATATTAGGGACTTCTATAGAAGTCATCAATAGAACAAAGAATATACTTACCAATAAATTTGACATGAAAGATATGGGTGAAGCAGACATGATTCTAGGAATAAAGATATCTAGAACATCAAATGGAATAGTCTTATCTCAAACCCATTATGTTGATAAAATAATTGAGAGACATATACGTCGTAGACATAACATCTTTTGGCAATTGCTCTCAAATGGAACAATATCAATTGATTTTGTTAAGTCAAAAGAAAACCTAGCGGATTCGTTCACTAAAGGGTCATCTAGAGAGCGTATAGACTGCGCATCGAGGGAAATCGGTTTAAAGCCTAAAACCCAATGAGTCATCTTAGTGGAAACCTAACCTGGCAACTGGAGATCCCATGGACTAGGTTCAATAGGAAAACTAATTATGAATGACTCGATAAGAAGCACTTAGGAGTTTAACTCCTTCCCATTTCTATGATGCAAAAAGTGCTGACCATGAAGTGTATTAAGGATAAGCTTTGCTTTTAATGATGACTATAAATGGTACAAGTAATTACAGTAGGGTACTCTTTATAGTACATTACCTATGTTAGTGCGAACTTGGCTGGTTCTATGAGAATTTGTTTAGGCGAATTCTCTAAAGCACTCGCAGAACCCAAGTAGTTCAGGGCCGAAATAATGAACACAATAGAGAACCAAGTTTGATATGAGAGATAATGTGTTTGGTCTATTGTCTGAGCTTGCAATAACGGCTGACAGTTCAAAACGTTGCGTGCACTGATTAGCCAAGTGAGTTCTATAGATTCTTACTAAAGAAGGTTCAAAGCGAAAGCTACCTATCTTGATGCGTTATCTTTCAGATAGTACTCTTCTTCCGTCTTCCTTGATTTGAGTTGACCTCTCCCATTCATGTGAGGGATTGTTGGAATTAATTGAATGTAATTGGGTTAAAACATTAAATGTAATATTTAATGATGTGGGCCATTGCAATTAATTTGAGTGAATTGGAAAAGTCTCCAATATAGGCCCATATGTTGATAAGCCCATTTTAAGTGTTTTATATATGGAAATAAATCACACATCAAGTTTACAAGAAAATAGTCTTGTTTATATAGTGGGTTGTGTGAATAGTATATAATTTAATAAGTTACCTACCACTTGACTAACTTTAGCTAGCCAAAGGCTAGTCACCACTAGAGTAGTGCTTCGCACCACTCGCGCTGCTCCCTGAACCCGGACCCGGTCTAGCAAAGTACGTATGTATCGTCGCGAGGAGCTGGGGAGCCTTATAGTTTTCAAAAATGGACTTGTGGTTCGATGACGTGGCAGCGCAAGGCTCGGTGAGTTGGCATTCTAGGTGGCGCACACGTGGTAGGTCACGTCCCTTCGTCCTGCGTGGCGGTTAGTGTACGCGTGACATCTGCATGGCTGTGACTGTTCAGAATTGGTGAATATGCATGATAAATGGATACTTCACTTCATGGTTCAATCTGGGCCGTCAGATCATAAAAATAGAGCGATCCAATGGCTAATACGAATCAGACCAAGTGGTGCACCAGTTCCTGAAATGTCACACACCTGTTCCATGAAACACTTCAATCTCTATAAATAAAGACCCCTAGATTCGTTTTTCTACACACAAAATCAATTACGAATTCAATTGATTTCTAAATTCTTCTCTCTCCATATTTTGCTCTAAAAATTCTCTTATATTTTCGTGGTTATTCCGTTCGAGTACGATCATTCATTGGTTCGGCCGACAAGGTTGATATTGTGCAATATCGACTTTGGAAGGAGCGTTGTATCTTGGGAGATAGACGTTCATAATCCGTTTGCACTTCATTGGGGGCGCGAAATCTGTCTTAAAGAGATTTGCTTTGGCATACCTCGCTTCATCTACCGTTTTCTATTTTTCTGCTTATTTTATTTGTTCTTTTGATTGCGTTAGTCGAATTTTCGACAACAATTAGGATCAACAAAAATGAACTTTTTACATTGACATTTCTAATTTGATGCATTTTTCAAAGTTTTATAATATGGCTTATGAATCTTCAACTTGTCACAAGTTGATAAGTATCGATATTTTGTTTGTTCACTCATACAGTATGTAACAAAAATGTTTTAGTTTTATAGCAAAACTAGCAGTTGAGATATCATATTAGTACTGTTTCCACACAATTCGTAAAGGAATGCTTTATCTATGATTTTATCATGATTTTTTTAAGTTCGTTTCAATCTTGTACAATTTATTCGAAGCTCGTCTTTAACTTCTTTTAGGCTTAGCTAAAATGATTTTAGCCTGCAACATGATGCTCCTAATTTTTTTTTAATTAATAAATTGACATGTTAACGCTTGATGGTGTTTGCTATAGGCTTCATGGTATTCACAATGTATAACACTTTGTTTCACCACTGGCCATTCTAGGCTTAATAGAAGAGCCTCAAGCTGGTTTTAATAAACCCGATTCTCATGAAAGTGGATTACGCTTAGGAAATTTTCATCTTGTAAATCTTGAATCTATGTTTTTTAATTAGTGAACTCTTTTTTTTTATATATATAGAATTATATTTTTCATGTTCCATATATGTAACATTTAGTGAGACATATTATATCGTTACTTGCCATATTTGATTTTGAAAATGAAATGTATCTTATCGTGCGAAATTCACAAGTTACAATACTTATTTACATGATGTAAGTCAATGCAGTTTCACGTATGGTTTCCGTTATCATACACGTGTGTTATAATAAAGATTGTATTATTAGAATTTTGTACGTAATTCTTTTTAATGAATTTGAATATGGCTGACATGATCTCAACATACCATTATATGCTATCTAACCATATTGTCCGTTGTTCATTGAGCAAAATTTTTAGTCAAAAGGTATCAAGTAGTACCTAAATTAGATGAAAGCAAAAATACATATTTTTCCCTCTAGAGAATGAGAATAACGAGAAAATGTGTTGAGATGCATTTGGAACATATGCTTGAAGAAATCATATGGAAAATTGAAAGAATGGGACACACCACTTTGCTTCTGTATCTAAGCAAGGATTCTGCTTCTCTTCTCTTTTCCTTTCCTTTCCCCTTTACATCTCTTCCAAGCATATCACTATTCAACATAACTCTTTATCCCTTTATATTCTTTTGCCATGTTGTGGTGGGAGAATTGGATAGAACTGGGTTGTATAATAAAGAGAATTTTGAAATCTTGTGCAACGTACGTTCAATTCTTGAAAAAATTCCAGCTGCTGATGCTCGGTACCCTTCTAGCGTTTCTATCGAAGTGCCTCTTGAAAAAATTAAACCAACAGCAGTGTATACTCAGATCAGGGTTCTTAAATTTTCAGAATTTCTAATGCAGTGCAGTATGGATAATCAACAATTTCTCGACAATTGCAGTATAGCTAAGAATGAAAAATTACATAGAATTGTGAAATTATAGAATACACCAAGAAATTTGAATCCCAAAAGCTCACACGATCAGCAATGATATAGTTACTATTGCTGGAAATCGTACTTAAATTTCCACGCAGATGAAAAATAGCTATTGATCCTTCTTCTACCGTGTTGTAGCTACTATAGAAATGCCTTTTGTAGTGATACTAGTTTGTTGCCCGTGCAATGCACGGGTCGGATTATTTTGAACGTAATATTAGCATTTTTAATGTTGATATGGATTTAATGTTTAAAGAAGAATATAGGATTAGAAGAACTAACTTATATGAAAGCAAGTAATAAGAATGCACCATTTCTAGGAAAAAAAAAAAAACTCAAAAGAATAGGTAATGTACATTGCAAATTTATTTGAAGGTGCAAATAAAACACCCTTGAGATGTGTATTTATCATTTCAAATTGAATAAAAAAACCATTTATGTCTGAATCAATTTGCCATCAATTGTAGGTATTAATGTATTATGAACGTATTAAATGATAACATAAACAATATAGTATAAAATATTTAAGAGGAATAAGAAAGAATAAATTAAGAGGTGATAAGATTTAGAAAAAACTAATCAAAGGGGAAAACTGAGTAAAAATATATAACATGATATTTCAGTAAGCTTGCATAGAAAAGAATTTCAATGACAAAACCAACAACTTCTTTGTAAATAAGGGGAAAAAACCCTTTTAGACTTGACGCCAATTTTTTCTAGTATCATTGATGTGCTTTGAGATTACTGCCATAATTATCTAATACTCGTGATTATTGAAATAAAAAATGAATAATTTATGATGAATAGGATGATCGAGAAGACAAGGAAGATTCATTAAACTTAATAATTTTTTTTTATGCTTGAGCAATATCAGCACGAAGAGATCCATGAGTGCCCCAGGTCTCATTGCTAGTGGCATTAATGACCTGAAACTTAAATGTTAGATGCTGTTAAACAAGAAGTGGAAACAAAAAAGCTATTTTGCAAGTTTAAGTGCCTACATGTGATAACCTAACATTATAACCTTCCAATGAATACAAAAGTGTTGGAAAAGATATTTAGTTGCAGTAGTGATCAGAACAATATAATGCAGAAATATAAAATTGATCGTCCGATCGAGTCTCGCGACAGCACAATGTCCTAAAGTGAAATTGCCCGTCGATAATTGCTGCGACCTCCGTGGACAATCACTCCCAGAATACAACGATCATAAACCACTTGTGCAGCAATCACGAATGGTTTATCAAGAACTCTCAATTTTACTCCAAAATATATGTAAAAAACACGAATATAAGAAATTCAGAATATGAGAAGGAAGATTGATGCAAGATGGTTTTTCTATTTTCTTTTTGTGTGTCTTTTTTCCAAAACAGGATATTGGTTTATATAGGTAAGATGGAAGTAATAGTCTTCACCACACAGAAGCCACATTTCCCACCACTCTGGCACTTTATCTAATTTGATTATTTCTTTCTCATTTTATATTTATACCATAAATATATAACAAAAAGTGACCAAGACATTGAAGAAATCTATAAGATATATAGAAGCAGAAGAAATGGATTTAAAAAATTACCTTTCTTCAGGAAGGACATTTTGAACTTTTCTCATTCACTTCTTTTTTACAGCAAGGAAGAAATAAGACATAACATAAGACAAAATTTCATAATTAGTTTGTCTAGACTACACATAAATAAAATTAAATTGTAAAGTATATTTGCAATGCAAACATAAAGTTTCAAAATTAGTAAATATATGCAGAGATATTGTAAAATTATTTTATATCATACAAATAGATAAAATGACAAAAGACCAATATAATATGTATTTTGTAAAATCTGAATGTTTGGGATAAAAATGTTTATGAATAGAGTTAAAATTACATGTGTGGACAATTTGACCAATAACCTTTTTCATTTCAACTTTAGTTCAAGAGGATAGATAGGAAATTTCTTCCAATTATTGTATACTGCCGACAAGGTAAATAATCAACCATTATATATGAGTGGTGGAGACTGTCTATATTATGGGTTCTGTTAAAAAACATCAAACGAAGGCTCTACACTCCGAAGAAAGCATGAAAAGAATTAAAATAGATTTTGAATAAATTTTATAAGGTAAAGAGTAGCTTCATCGGGCATAACTCTATTTCTATTCCAGCTATTATGTCCCCAGCCAAATTTATTGAAAATAAGTTGTGTATGTTGTCCTCATGATTTATGTTAATCTTTTCTTTTTCGGTAGTTCTATATGAAGTTTTACTATATTACCTTTGCAGCAAGCTGTGTCTTCACAAAATATAGTGGATAGGTGACTGAAGCAGTAGTTATTCTTGACAAACGACCACCCATAAAATTCAGAAGAATATCAGCACTTGAATTTCCCTCACGACCATCTAGTGCAGAGATAAATTTCAAAACCTGCAAAGATTATGACATCAGTACAATAATATAGTAAATACACTTTATCTAGAACAAAACTGTAATTTGCATTTCTTAAAAACTCACTTTTGTAGTATTCGTACGCATAAAATTAAAACCATATCAAGTGAGCAAAACATTCATGTGTGGTCATGTTTTTCATTTCTTCAAGTTTTTGTTGATAATTTTCCAACTGTATCAACATCAAGGATCATATTTCAACCCATTTAACCCCCGTTTGGAGCACATTATTATTTCATTTGTAGAAATATTTGGACCATTTGCATTGGCAAAGGCACAGTGGTCGGTCCTTCATCCTAACACAACGTAACAAAAGGTTTACAGCTTTTATTCTTTTCTTTTGCCTTTTTCCCCTTTTACCTCCAACCTACCAACAACCCAATCAATCCCTAAATTCACCTTCTAACTATGCAAACGGAGGAGGGCAGAAGTGGAAAATGGAAGAAAAATCTTTAATAGTACACAGTGGAAGTATGCACATTGGGTCCAAATGACTGCATCATGATACTGTGCAACGGTCTGCAATTTTCTAAAATGACAAAGAAATGTACACCAAAAAGGGGCTTAATAATATAATAGATCAATAGATTAAACAACATGAAGTAAAAACCATTACCGAAAAATTGATATGGGTTGAAGGTCCCCAGTACTTACAGTGTTACCAAATCATAAGCCTTTGTAGCCTTTTCTTCCATATCATAACACCTAAATTTGACACATATTACAAAAGTGCACAAAAATATAAAAAACTACGCTCGTAACTTTTATTGTTGATCTCCAGTATATTTCTGGGATACAAGATAAATAATACCTTTGCACTCTCCGTGTCAAAATGGAACTGCAAAATGACCAAAAAAAAAAAAGGTTAAAGTATTTACCATAATGGAAGATGGTTTGTAAACGTAAGACTCATCTCTATATATAGCATGGCAAGGATGTTGTAAAATCCAAAGCAGGCAAGCATTTTGTTCATACATACATGACAAATCATACTTTCCCATGCCAAATTCAAGTTCACATATTATTTCAGAAAAGAAACAAGATCATATCTACATTCAAATATCTAATGTGTTCACATAATACTTAACTAAAGTATTTATGCAATGTATTCATATCTTGTTTTAACTGTTCACTTCCTCTAAAAACTACATATCACAGTTATATTTTAAAACCATTTTAACTCCAATTTTAAAATCTCAACCATGGGTAGCTTTTAATGAGAATCAATAGCCAAAAGAAATAATAATAGAGTTGGCTACACATAACAATCAATAGCCAAAAGAAAGAATAATTAGGCTTTAACCTCCAACAAATGTCTTGTAATCACATTTTTAGAGGATATATTAGGGTCCCTATAATTAAAATCGCATTTTATATGGACAATAAATTGCAACTGGGAGTAACTTTGTAAACATCGATCTTGTAAAAAACAAATAAGACAAAAAGAAATTTTAACATTTTATGCGAGGAAGTACCTCTTGTTATATTAAAGTTCTCATGTGCTAAATATTGATAGTAATAGTTTGCATTTGTAGACAATTAAAGATGTATCATATTTCAATTGAAAAAGCTCGATTTCTAGATCGGAAGCCAAAATTATATATTGTTCAAATTCTCTTTCTTACTGCAGATGAATACATAATGGTTATGTGCAGCCTAATGACAAATGTTCCACCCATTCATTAGTGCAAAGATAGCTAAAGACATCGCGCGCACGCGTGCTTGTGTGTGTGTGTATATATGCATCGCTCCAAAACATGAGGCAAGAACTATTCCTCTCCCACAAGTACTCCAAATGCAAAGTAATGCTGTGTAGTTACCAAACGGATTTTCATTCTTGCTTCTTCTTCATTGGAAAGTTCAAAAGTTGATTTAACACACCAAAAATGGTAAGAACTATTGCATTGCTAACCCATATATATACATACTTCCACATAATGAAAAGGTACAAACTTCAATAAAACATAATCATGTAAAGGGGAAAAATTAAGTCAAAGTGTCTATCAACAAAATTTACACGGCCAATAAGACGCACACTATTGGTGACACTAAATAGTAACCTACTAAATGAATAAGGACCAAAAAGCCATCACGTGAACCATATTTAAACATTTGACAAGAAACATGTCTCGTTGCTTATGATCCATCAACAGTACAGTAGCAAAATAAACCCAAAAACTGACAATTTTGATCATTTCTAAAACCAAATTTTTGCATCTTTAAAATAAATGCAAAATATCTTAATCACAAAACTCTTGATGCAAATCATTCAAAATTTGAATCCCTTAATTTTTATTAATTCCAAATAAATTTAACTCCATGATGTAAATATGAAACATTCACCAGTAAAACAAATTCTACAACAAGCAACATTAGTATGATGTGAATTTTTGTGATCAAACAATATACCATCAAATCCGTTTTGCACAAAATAATAAAACTAAAAACATAAAAAATTGTTAACCACAAAGCCAATGATCAAACCTTTGGACGACTTTGGCTAGAGGCATGATAACAAGAAGATAAACCAATGGTTGAACTTAATATTCGTATTCCCATACTTAAGAAACTAACTTTCATAATCAAATTTAGCCTTAAAATCCAATAGTTTACTCTTAGAATTCCGTCCCTCAGCATCCGTGTTAAGCATAGGCACGGAGAACACCCTTCTTTTGGCGATGCCCAAGATCGCAATGGATTCGCGCTCTCCGGCCCGCATTCCTTCCTAAGGAATGGAGTCCGGGCCGTACCGCAACTCTTCCTTTCTCTTAAAAATCTAACCCAAAGCTTGACTGAATGGATTGAATGGACTGAGACCGAGGAACTACTATCGTGCTATTGGCTTTTCACCGGATTTTTCGCTACCTCTGTTACCGCTAGAAGTAAGGTACGTCCATTATGAATCCGAGTACTAGGCCGATACGGCATGCCTTGGCAAGGGGGTTCAGGCATTATGAGTGCTACTCCAGTAGTCTAGCTGGTAAAGTCTTTTGGTGAGAACACCTAGGACCCGGGTTCTCATCCCGCCAAGGAAAAACAGAGCACTCTCATCCCACCTCAAATTAAGAATAAAAATAATAGTTACAATAGCTTGTTGTAGATAAATTTATTTCCACAATAAACATTCCCAATCAAAAAATACTTATTTCATGGAAATCAAATACCTCAGGTGACAAATATTCCATCTATGTAAATTTTTGTGCTTGTATGGGAAAAAGAATAACCAGGAATTTATATAACCATCGAATCAATGAATTAAAAAAATAAAATTATATACAAAGAACAGCTAAACAAAAATAAGTTCAAGTACACAAAATTTGAACTCTAAACATAAAAAAATGAAAATATTAAGAAATTATTTATAAAAGCAAACCAATCTAACTTAAAGAAAAATCTCCTAAGTTGAAACAAGATGACAAAAGTAATCTTCAGCAAATATGATATAAAATGAGCATACCTCAGCTCACAAGCGTCTTATTTGTACAAGATTTTTCTGCTTCTTTAAGGATTTTAGAAAAACTTTAACAACAAATTCAAAGAATTGTCAAATCCACAAGGTAAAAATATAAAATTCTACACAGACACAGGGAACAAAAATGAGTTCAACATACATAAAATTTAAAGCTCAAATCATCAGAAATCGACATATAAACAAATTATTTGTAGATACTAAATTAAAAAAATAACTAAAAAGCACAGATAATACTAAAATGAAATAACCATGAAAAACGAAACAACTATGAAATTGACATAAGCCAATTATGCCCAAGATTCAAAGCTAAAATCACAAGAAATTGACATTTGAACGAATGAACTGGAAAAATTAAACAAATCTAACCTGAACAAATAAAATAACAAACAAGCCTCAAATGGAACAACTATGAAATCGACATATCTCAGTTCATTGATCTCCCATCCAGGTTGCAATTTCTTGATCTTTTGAACACTTGTAATAAAGCTGCAAATCAAACAACCAATAGAAACTCCTACGTAAAATATATATATATATATATAGAAGAAGACCATGAGATTCGTATTTACAAGATGATTATGTAGAAATTCTTTCAATCTCTCCTCCAGAAAGGAAAGCACAAAATGTAGTTAGAGTTGAAGCAAAAGATCTCAAGAACAATGGTCACTTTTCTTTTGCTTAAATAATTAGCTACACTAAACTGCCCATGTGAGCGAACCCTTAAAATCATAAAGTTGCCTCTATTTAAGGAGCTCTTATCTTTCATTGAGGATCATCTCGAGCCCAACTCTTCTTAATAAAAAGTTTGTTCCTCTTAACAATGTTCTTCTAAAATCCTTTCTTTGTTCTTCCATAGTCTTGACAACTGTGAAAATTTCAGAATGAATAAGTAAGAGCAAGATCTAAGTAGTATCAAAAGTATGCTCTGCAGTTGCCTCTTTGAGGATCCTCTGCATCAGAAAATTTGGTATTACTGATTATATGATCCTATGTGGAGGTTTGGTAATACCGAAAGTCAGGCCCTATGTTGTTGCCCAAAGGGATTGTTGTGGGCTAGAATACAGAGTGTTACCACACCCCTACTATGTTGGTATCAGAGCCATGTTGTTATCTTGATCTTACTATTCTGATTGGAATTATCCAGTTTGAAAGAAACTAGGAAGAACACATTAAAAATTATGTCTGAATCTTCTAGTTCATCTATATTAGCACCCTCCACCTCCTTTCGAAAATCTAATGCTTCTAAAATCGACTCCCTTTATGAAATATCTTACCTACCTGAATCTGGAAAAATCTCAGTTACAGATCTACCTCTTGTCAATCCTTATCTTCCATATAACAAACCCCGAAATTCCTTCACCAAAACTGTTTAAAGTATCATTTCACCATCAAAATCCCAAATCAAAGGATATGTTCAGGCATCAAAGTTTGATCAGCATCTTTTACCTGCTACTGAAAAGGAGCAGTTTGTTACCTTAGATTTACCATCTCATCTTCCAAAAGTATGGTTATCTGAAGGTTTTACCCATCTTCATTTTGGAGCTGTAAGAATTGCACTTACCCTCCATGGAAGAAAAGGTCTCTCGACTGTTTCTAGAATTGCTCTTCTAGATACACGATTTGCTGATTATCAACATGCATGTATTGGCACTGTGGAAACTACACTCAATGCGGGAACAGTACTTGTTACTATGTTTCCAAATTTTAATATGCCAATTGCAGATCCATTATTGTTATCAGCTTTAAAAATCCAGGTCCAAATTGTTGGAGCAGTTCCAACAGCAGTCACATATGGAGCAACACTTCATTACCAGATGGCTTACAGAATTCAAAATCACTCTCTTGATTTTGTCACCCCTAATAGGACGGATGATGCTTTATTAATTCAGATGGGAACAGATCAGCCAAGCTGTACATATGTCCCTAGACAGATTCCTAGATCCGAGCTCATTAAATTGGTCCCTCAAACCTGGGTTACTAGTTATGAGCAACATCACCAGGCGTCAAAAGACTCTCTGCCTATACAATCAGCAACTCATCATTTCAGGAGAAAGTCAAATGGCGAAGTTGAAATCATGTTTCAAAAGGAACCTGCAAATAAAAAGCCTCCCTGTTTTCCAACATAGTTTGCTTTTTCCAATGAAGAAATTCCCATTTATGGATTTGATGCAAATGGCAGGCCAATTTATTGCAAATCTGATAACTCAGGACATATTTATTGGGATGTATATTTCTGTGCAAAATGCATAGAAGATGAAAAAGATCTATTTAACGATCGTCCTTCCAGGAAGAAGAAGAAAAAAAAGAATAGCCAACAAAAGTTGCGTGAAGCATATGAAAACAAATCTACAGCAGTTGATTTGTTAGG